ATAATATACTCTGTTACAGAAAGAGAGCCTTTCTTGGTAGAAAAAATCTTATTCCTCAAATCATAGCAGGTGGCAGCATCTTACTTCATTGAGTAAGTCTGTCTAAGAACATCCCAGATCTCAAGAGCGGTAGGTAAGAACATGCAATGTTGACTAACCTTAGGAGTCATAGAGTTCCATAGCCACGTCATAATAAGAGAGTCTTCATCATCCCAATCAGCAAATTTTGGATTTGTTTTGGCAAGAACAGGTCCTTCAAGATGAATTATTTTATGACGCCCTTTAAGGATGATACAAACAAGCTGAGACCATTGCAAATAATTCTTTCCATTAAGACGATAATTCTGATGAAGAGGAGGAAGGTCATTTGGAGAAAGAATAGCCATCAAGCGTGTACCAGATGATTGACTGGTTGGAGTATCTTCAACATCCAACATAATAAGGGTTAAGAATAAGAAAACGACCAAAACAGTGAACAAAGTGTCAGTGAACAGTAACAAAATACTGTAGGAAGACTATAACCAAGTCGAAATGCCACAATAGTCACAGATCCAGATGCGCAAGAAGGAGATTAGACGAGCAAAGGTGGTCTGAGGTGAACCCCCTTCGTCACTCGCTGTTATGCGCCGGAGAAGTTATCGACGTGTGGGTGTCACGTGCAGAAGAAGGAAGCGCGCTTAGGGGCGCGTTCCTGGTGAGCTGGAGTTGGGTTTTTCAGGTGAGGATCGCTCAGAGGTTGTGCTCCTGTCTGTGGTTGGTCGGAACAGTTCTTAACGGTGAGAAACAGGTACGGTTCACTGTTTTCGGAATTGTTTGGGACGTCCGTTGACCAGAAAATATACGTAGAAGGATAGATCAGAGGAAAAGGAGTCCATTAAGGTTCCTTTCGGTCCAAAAGGTCACTGGAAAATTTTTTCGGTGGCTGGTGGTGGCGAAAGGCAAACAAAAAAAGGTTTCCGCTCTAATGACGACAATTATGGAAGCAGAGCCCTCAAAATCGAGCTCTGATACCAAATTGAATTGTATAATATTGAATTGTGTAACAGATTTATAAAAGTTCTCTATTTAAAGAGACTAAAAGACTTAATGACTAAGCCCAAATACACTTCTAGAGTATTCTAGCTAACACAAATAATGAATAAATAATTCTAATATTTACAACACTAACACTTGAATTCCCAACAATATTGTTAAATAACAAGAAAATAAGAAGCATATGATGTAATCCGTGTGTCTTAACTTACACGGCGGAGGCTCTAATACTGAATAAAAAGAATTACAAAGGAATAATACACAATGTTGGACTTTTTCTCTCATGCTAAATTACTCTATTTATATCATTCTCAACCTTCTCCTTCAAGCTAAAGCATACAAATCACATGCGCTAAGCTTGTTACATATGTAATCTATTCAAGAATCTTCTAAAGTTTTAGTGAAGGCATCCCCAGTTGATCGTTTTAGTTAACGAAATAAGTGACAATCTCTTGTGAGACAATATTTTCTCTGATAAAATGACAATCTACTTAAATGTGCTTAGTTCTTTTATGAAACAATGGATTGAAAGTAATATGAGAAGTAGCTTGATTACCTCAAATGAGTGTTGCTGGTTCCGTATCTCCAAACTTGAGTTCTTTAAACAATTATTTTAGCCAGATGAGTTCACAAGTAGCTATGGCCATGGAACGATACTTTGTTTCAACACTTGATCTGGCAATCATACTTTATTTTTTTCTTTTCCAAGAAACTATGTTGTCTTCAACAAATACACATGGCCTAGAGGTGGATTTTGTATTAGTGGGAAATCTTTCCCAATCAACATCTAAATATCCAACAACCTGGGTATGACCTTTATCTATATAGAAGGGACCTTTTCCTGGAGTTGTCTTGATGTACTCAAGAATGTGAATTACTGCATCCAACGTTCTTCAAAAAGAGAATTAAGGAACTGATTTATCACACTGACCGCAAATGAGATTTCTAGTCGAGTGACTATAAGGGATTTCAATTCCCAACTAATTTTCTATATCTTTTTGGATTTGAGAATGACTCTCCCTGATTTGATTGAAGCTTGACATTCGCATCCATAGGAGTGTTAACTAGTTTTGTATTCAGTAGAGTTGTTTCCTCAAGAATGTGTACAACATATTTCCTCTAGGATATCACAATACCATTATTGGATTGGTCCACCTCTATCCCTAAGAAATATCATAGTTCTCCAAGATCCTTTGTCTTAAAATAATGACAAAGATGTTGTTTAACTTGAGTAATGCCAAGATGATCATTACTTGTAATAACAATGTCATCAACATACATCACTGAATAAATGGATTTTGAAATTGAGTGGCAATAAAATTCAGAGTGGTCAGCCTTACTCCGAGTGAAGCCAAAATATTGAGCAACTATATTAAGTCTTCCAAACCAAGCCCGTGGAGACTGTTTGAGACCGTGTAAAGACCTGCTGAGACGGCAAACTGGGCTAGACTCCCCCTGAGTAATAAATCCAGGAGTTTTCTCCATAAAAACTTTTTCTACAAGATCACCATGAAGAAAATCATTCTTGATATCTAGCTAATAACGGGCCAGTGATGGATAGAAGCCCTTGTAATGAAAAGGCAAATTGAAGCCATTTTCTCCATAGGTGAGAATATGTACCCATAATTGAGTTCAAACACTTGAGTGTATCCCTTCGCCACCCATCGGGCCTTGAGATGGTCCACCAACTAGTGTTTGAAGATTCAATTACATACATTCCTACTAAAGAGCAGACAACAAACATCCTTACTAAAGTCATACACAAACCAGCTTTTGAAGACTTGATTAGCAAGTTGAGAATTATCAACATATAGCTCCCAACTTGAGGGGGAGCGTGAAAAATTAGAATAATTATTTCTGTATATTAGGGATATTGTCAAATCCCTAATTTATGAGAATTATTGCCTTGCTAACTATTATGCAAGTAGCGCGCAAGTGTACATGACAAGAAGTAGTAAAGGATGTATTTTAAGACCCAAAAATCATTCCCTCAAAGATCGTGGCATTTGTTATATTGCTTGATTTTTCAATTGCAGAAAAGGAAAATTTAAACCAAAAAGTAAATCAAACTAAACTATCAAGAATTTTGATTTTTGGAAATAAGAGAAACAGTAGGCTGAAAATGTACTGGTGAAATTATATTGGGTTTGAAGACTGGTTTAAAGAAAACTTGCGTAATGGAAGAAAAAGAACTTGATGGAGGCAGAAAACATGCACTCTTGATTAGCTTAATTAAAGAGTGGTTGAATAAGCAATTTTGCTTAAAATGAAATAAAAAGTGGGTTGCATATTCAGATTCCCTTCCTTCTTATGCTATAGAAACTTATAACTTCCCACTTGTGGCTTTTGCAATTATCTCAGTGTAACAAAAAGGAGTTTTAATTTCTATTTCTCAACAGAAATAATATATCTTCATAACTTAACCTTTTTGCACATGTCTGTGAAAAAGGTTAAGAAGAAGAATGTTTAAGCACGGGTTTTTGAAGCTATATGTGTTCGTTTCTTCAAATCTGAAGTAAGACAAACTCCTTGAGTAAGCACACATGTTTGGTATGTATGCAAGAATTCTGTTTCTCAACATGAACCGTTTTTGCAGTCACCATTACTTGGCCAATCGCATAGCCACTCCAAACCATTACAAACCACACCAAACGTATTGGAATAATTATACTAAAATTAAAAGCAAAGTCCAAACAGCATAAGGAAGGTTGGGTAATCTTTCAACCCAACCCCAAAGTTCTTTAGCCCATACCCGTGACAGGTTGAGCATTAAAACAACAACAGAAAAGTTAGAAATTACATACCCAGAATCAAATACAAAATGTTGTCAATATTGCAGAAGCAACATCACAAGATGCGTTTTGCTATTTCAACAGAAATCGAACCAAAATGTGTCCAGGAGCAAAGTCATAAAGAAAACAGAAAGCAACCAACAAAAACTTCTGAAAAAATGAAAAGGCCTGAGCCTTTACCCTCATTCCCTTTTTATATCCCTCCTCCTTCCTTGCATGTTCAGTGTCGCTCCTTTGCACGATTGTGGCGTTCCCTTCCTTGGACCACCAGATGTACTCACACGTGCACGAAATCTCCAAAAATCGCATGACCCTTCCTTGCTTTGTTGTCTTCCTTGGACCACCAATTCACACACACGCTAAATTCCCTTGGTCGCACTATCCCCTCTTCATCCTTTGCAATGATTGGGGAATTTCTATGGATGAGGCTGTACGGGGATTAATTTCTTTTCTTTTGTGAAAATGAGTTAAATGAAGTAATGGATTCAGGTGGCTTTTGGTGAGAAGGGAAATGAGAAATTTTGTGAGCTGTGGAAAGGAAGTGAGAAGAAGGATAAGGTTTGATTTGGGTGCAGATTAGGGTTTCAATGAGAAAGAGAAAGGGCTGAAGAATTGTGTCTCTTGAGTTGGCAGACTGCTTCAAAGGATGACCCCAAAACTCCCTTTTTTCCTTTTATTTTTCTCTTTTTTAATTCTTCTGTTCTTCCCATTTTGTCCATACAGCAGTGAAATTAGATCCAAGCTTTGTCTTGACTTCTTTTTGTTTTTCCTGCTTTGCACCTTTACAATAGCTGCTGCCTTTGGAATTGAGATTTGGGCCATAAAATACCTAAAATAAGACAAATGGTTCATTAGCAATTTTTCTTCATAGTGTGTTAGGAATAGGCATTATTGGGCTATTGTCATTTCATATATACAAATAAGTTAGCCCAACATGCCTGTAGTCTCTTTTCAGAGTCTCAAGAGGAATCAATAACAATAAACTAGGATTGGTTTCTTTTTCCTCTTTATTACGATTGTTTTGTTTCCTTATTTCAGTCGCACGTGGTGTGTATATATGTTGAATGCAATTCAATACACTGACTTTTTTTACAATTGAAACAGATATCATCAACACTAAAAACCAAGCATGGATCATTAAAAATTAACACATGTTTTTGGCACTTATTTGATCAGGATATTGTTAATTACATATGCGATGATGAAGATATAAAAGCTGTCTCGTTTGTTGGTCCAATAACAGTAAGTTTGGTGCTTTAATTTTGTTTCTATTTTGCCTGATTTTTGCAATAGTTTTTTCAGTCTTCTTAGTAGCCTAAGAGCTATGATGGGTTCATTTGGGAGTAATTCAGTTTAGATTTATATTCTAAGGGGTAAAATTTTGTTCTATACCAATATTATATTTTCCACACCTCACAAAATAGAAGGAACGAGGCTTAGACTGTGAGATAAATGTGAGGAGTGATTTTGTTGTTTGTGCATAATTGGCTGTTATGGATATGCTACTTTCATATTATTATTATTATTATTTTTAGTACATTACTTTCGTATTTTCGTAACACCATTACTTGGTCACTTATTCTTAAGGCAGGAACGCACATATATTCCAGGGCTGCTGCTAGTGGGAAACGTGTTCAGGTACGCTATTATCCAATTTTACTGTTATGTGAATACCTCTTGGTACTTACATCACACTAAATGCATTTCATGACAACAGGGTTTGAAATTGTATATGCATGTACTGGCTGGCTAATTGGTTATTATCTTTATTAGTCAAATGCAGGTGGAATAAATCATGTAATTATTATGCCCGATGCTAGCTTGGATGCTACTCTAAATGCCCTTGTTCCTGCTGGCTTTGGTGCAGCAGGAGAGAGGTGCATGACTTTAAGCACAGCTGTATTTGTTGGAGGTTCAATGCGATGGTATTCCCTCTAATTTGGCATTGTGTATTTACTTTATTATTGAGTCTGTTAGACTACTCATTGTATTATACTTAACAAGTACTCCTTTTCTCGTCAGTATCTTCAGTAGGTACTGAAGGAGGAGTTGAACGTGTACCTACCATTTAATACTACTGATTTAATTAGCGAAATCTGTAAAGATGAGTTTTTCATATCTGAAGTTTGACTTCGGCTTAAATTGTTGATTAAATATGTAAATTGGAGAAGTGTTAAATGTTAATTCACAGTGAATTCCTTGAAGAATCACAGGGAAAACAGTTCTTGAAGAAATTTTTCCCTTGTTTGCCTCTTTCATCTTCTCCCTTTCCTCTATTAAACCTTTTTGGCCTTTTGCCGTTTCTTACCTCCACCAATTATTGATTATTAATTGTGTCCTATCTTGCTGCACTTAAAGAATAGGTACCTCCTTGTTATTTAGCTGTAATCAAGTCTTAATGAACTTAGGTATTAAGAAGCAATATAATGCGCTACTAATGATCAAGTCAATAATACAAGGCGCTATTAATGATCAAGTCAGTTGTTGCATTTATCTATTTCCAGGGAAGATAAACTAGTGCAGCGTGCCAAATTACTTAGAGTCAATGCAGGAACAGATCCTGGTGCAGACATAGGTCCAGTTATTAGCAAAGAGGTGCAAACATTTATCTCAGTTTTCCCTAGGTTTTAAATTGTTTTCATGCCACTTATTGATGGTCTTTGTTAGACATTGCATCTTGATAATGTTCAAACTTAGAAATAATATGTTAAGTTTGTGCAATTTTTTGAGTTCTTGATCCACTTCTTGAACTAATAGGCAGAGGAGCGGATATGTAGACTAGTTCAGAGCAGTGTTGAAAATGGTGCAAGACTCCTACTTGATGGTAGACATATTGTGGTACTAATTTGTTTCTGACAAATTTCATGCATGCTCATTGTTTCAAAATAATTTTTTTCCTTATTTATTTTCCGAAGTGTTGAACTTTTTTTTTTTTTTTTTGGAAGACACTGAGTTTTCAGAGCCTGCTTGACAGGTTCCAGGATATGAGAACGGAAACTTTGTTGGTCCTACTATCTTATGTGATGTTACAACCAACATGGAGTGTTACAAGGTACATCTGATTTCATGTTTCAAGTATTCTTTCTCTCACTCATTAATAAAGTTATTGTTAGTATTCTCACCTGAAGAAGAGTTCATGGAAAGACAAGAATATTGACGCCCATAGCTTTCTCATAGTAAAAGTGACCATGCTATCTTTTTGGTTTCTCAGGAAGAAATTTTCGGACCTGTTCTACTTTGCATGCAGGTGCTGTTTTTGTTAATACTTGTGTTGCTTTAAACTCTTTTACCTTGTTGAAATTAAAGGACTAATTTTTTGTTTATCAATAGGCTGACAACCTAGATGAGGCTATATCAATAATAAATAAAAACAGGTATTTATTTTAACTAGTACTCTTTTATTCCAATGCTACTTTGAATGTCGTGGATAAACATATTAATATTTACCTCTGTTGTATTTTCTCGCAAAATTGATAGAAGAAATTTGATTATTTTGAGTCCTACTTGTTTTTGCATTATGTTGAAACTCACACCTAAACTTTTCTTCAACATTTTGCCCTTGTTTTGGAAATATATTTTTCGCATAACATAAGACTTCATTTCTATAGATACGGAAATGGAGCTTCTATATTCACCACATCTGGTATAGCTGCTAGGAGGTTCCAGAACGAGGTTGAGGCTGGACTGGTGAGCAATAAGTTATTCAATATATAAATAACCAGAAATTTCTAGATGAAGCGTGCATTTTTTTTCTTCCTTAAATTCTCCTGATGTTGTGCTTTTTATTAGTCAAAGCAAGAAAGTGGACATATCAGATATGGCTTTTCTAGAGAACGCACGGACTTAATACTTTTTAAACTTGTTCCCATAATGGTTAATGAGCTGCATCTTTTTTACGACCACTTTTTTTCCTGTATGCTGTAATTATCCATGGATTAGTTTTCATGGAATCCACATGGGGTTTTTCACTTATTCTCTCCCCCTCCCCTTCTTTATTTGTATATTTTTCGACTGTTCAGAACCTAAAGGGTAACCTTGATTGGCACAACAGTTGGTGTTGTCGCTATGTGACTTGGAAGTCACAGTTTGATTCATATAATCAGCCCCATGCAAATGCAAGGTAAGGCTGCCTACTATAGCCCCACACGATGGGTTTAACTCTTCCCTAGACCCTACACATACTGGGAGCTTTGTAGCACCAGTTTTTTTCTTTTTTTCTTTTTAAGACTGTCCTGAACCTGTTTAGAGGCTGCAAGCTAAAGAAAATGGCCAGATAATAAGATGCACCACAGGTAGTTTATGCTCTGAAGGCTAATCTGCATCATATTTTCTGTACAGGTTGGGATCAATTTGCCTGTACCTGTTCCACTACCATTTTCCTTCGATGGATCAAAGGCATCTTTCGCTGGTGATTTCAGTTTTTGTGGTATAGTTTTGGCCTTCTCTTTCCTTGTACACACACTCCTTGGTGGTTGAATCAGTTTTTTATGTTTCTTGTCACTTTGTTGAGTTGCAGGAAAAACAGGAGTACAGTTTTATACCCAAACCAAAACAGTAGCACAACAATGGAAGGATTTCCCTAGACGAGTATTCCCTGCTGCATGTCCATCTGAGAGAAATTCACCTAGGCAATTGGCACCACAAATAATGCCTATAGAATCTGAAAGTGATTCACCAACCTATGAAGAACAACCGGAAATAACTGATGCAGATATACAGAACACAACCATGTCATCTGCATCTCCATCAACTGATAAGGATCACAGAAGCCAGGATATTTCCCTAGTTCTGCCTTCAACATCTGAGAGGGATATATCAGATCAGGATATGTCACTGGCATTATCACCTACATTGCAGAGGGACTTACCGAGCCGAGGAGTATCTGTAGCCACACCACAGGCATCAGAGAGGATGTATGTTTCTAAAACATCTCAGTGGAATGATACTTCACCTGCAACATCTCAAAGGAGTGAAACTATTCCACCAAGTTCTGATAGGGGTCATGTGTCTGCATCTCAGATGAATGTAGACATATTTACAGCGTCCCAGAGGACTGATACTGCCACAGCTTTGAAACCAGAGGGAATATACATGCCCATGTCTGATAACATAGCTCAAATATCACAAGGGAGTGATAACATGAGTCCAGTGTCTCAAAGGATGGTGGATACTACTATGCATCCAACTTCTGATAGGACATATATTCTGGCAGCATCTCATTTAAATCAAAGTGTTGGTCAAACATTTGAAAGAACCGACCCCATGTTTCCAACTTCTGAGAGAATATACATGCCTGCAACATCTCAAAGGAGTGACCATATTGGCTCAACATCTCACAGTACTGATATTGGCTTACGTCTAAATTCAGAGAGGATATATATCTCTGCTGCTTCTCAAAGAAATGATAGTATTAGTCCAGCTTCTCAGCTTGATAATGCTTTGCCTCCTTCTTCTGAGAAGGCCTTCATGCCTCCAATAGTACAGAATAAGCCGCCAAGATCAGAGAGGTTATATATTCCTACAAATTCTCAAAGGATGTATAATCAAAACCCAATAATTTCAATGGATGAATTTCCTAGCCAAGCTGCGGCTATGACTTTGCCATCATCTCAGAGAATATAAGACATTGAACCATGTTCGATTATCCAATCTCTAAATTGAAATATTGTAGACATAGTAATTTCATTAAAAGTCAAATTTTTTCTGCCCTCATCAAGCAGCAAAGCTGCTGGAAGTTTCTAGGGTGAAAAGATAAACCTAGTGTTGAAATTATAGGTGTCAAATTTACATTTTTATTTTGCTAATTACAAGATGGCAATATATATGGGGAATTAGGACAAAAATTGTACATTAATCCAGGCCTAAAAAGTAGGAATTGTATGTTAATCTAGCCCTTAAAAATAGGAGTTATATTTAGCTTTATATAATTGAATATATTTGTTATTGTAGCTTAAAATCTGTCACAAGTTCTGAAAAAGTTTGTCATAAAATTAGGAATCTGTGATTATATATTTGTCACAAAATGCGGAAAAGAATTTGTATTTTTTAATTTTTGTCATAAAACCAGGACTATGTTTTCTCATACTCCCTCAAGATAGTGAATAGACATTCTCCATTCCTATTGGATATGATGTTCTGAAAAGCCAGATTGTGTAATAATCCCTTAATGAGTATGTTAGCTAGTTGTTCTTGTGTAGTCATATAGGGTGCGCAAATTAATCCACTATCCATTGGATTGTGGGCTATATCAATTGTAAACTTATTATTGCAATAGTCTTGTTTTCTCCCACTTAATCTTTAACGTCTCTAAGGATAATCTTTAACTAAAGTAGTTCATAAATACCTCGAGTTATTGCTCTAAATTTGATATTTGCCCTAAGTTGTGCTACTATATGCTATGTTTTGCTTCTCCATATCACCAAATTTCCCCCAAGGTGTGAAACTAAAGAGCTTTCAAGATTTCGCATTTGATGGTGTCACATCATCAAAGTTTTGATGATTACAAACTAATATAAATAATTGAACAATTAGCACGGGAAAAAAAACAATAAAAAAGAGTTGAAAAGAAAAATTCACCAGCTTCTATAAAGAACGTAAACAAATCAATGACAAAGTTACAGAGATGATTCAAAATTCAAGCCACCATTTGAAAAGTTAAGTCCAAGGCTTTGAAGTAGTATAATATTATACCTTAGGCTGGAATGTGAGGGTATATGATAATTTGCTTGAAAGAGCTCAAAAGATTTTCAAAAGACATGTTTCACATCACATTCAAGAAAACATTGTTTCCAAGAGCCTATAAAATGTTTCTAATTGCTTGAAACCCATTTGGATCTAATGGATTAAGTTTGGTCAAATTCCTAACCTTCGTTAAGGTTGGGAATTGATCACCCCTAATGGAATTGATTCCCTCTTTATTGGGAAGGTTTGGACCATATGTTCTAGAAGTAAAAAATAATGGTCATAAGAAGGTAGAAATAACTATATTCTCTACCAAACTTATAAATACTTTCTTCCAATGCTTTATTCCTTCTTGGACACTATTAGGACATTGATTAAGCCATTATTGAGTGAATTTATGGTACCTGACTCATTTTTACTCTTTCATTTTCAGTAATTGCTTTTGAGCTCTATTCTCTGTGAGAAATCAATACTCATAGAACTTCAACTTGTGCATATGCACTTTGAAAGTGTAATATTCTTCTTAAACACTTTCTTTTTTGTATTTTCAGAGTAAGGGCAATTCAATTCAAAGGTATGAGGTTTCCAAACACCAAGAAAGTTTAGAGATTGTTGTAAGGTCACCAAGGACTAGTAAAGCTTAGGGATTGTATGTGTATGATCAAGCACCATTGAAGCTTGACAAATAATGAAAAAATCTTGGATGGTTTACTCAAGGATTGACTGTAGCTCACGAGTAATTGTTTTGAGCTAGTCTGGATAAACTTCGTTTGCATTTCTCTCTATCTTAAACTCTTTCTATCCAAAATTCTATTCATTATTTGAGAAAATCCAATCGTTGTATTGTCGTGCACATAGTTCATACATTGCCACACATTTACTTTCCTAAACTTATTTTAAATCAAAGGTTGAAGAAATTGCTTTTTACAAAAAAACAAAAAAAAGGCTATTTCCAAAAAGTTTTTGAAGCCACTTGTTTAACACAAGGAAGGTATAATATCCATAGTTGATATATTATCACTAGGTGACCTAGCATAGTCTGCACCAAGCGTATGCCATAAACACTACTCTTCTATTTCTTTTAAATAAAATTCCTTTTCCAAATGTCCCCCGGAGATATTGTAGTATTCGATGAGCTACTTCCAAGCAAAGTTCTTTCGGGTTGTTCCTGATTTGACTGATCACACTTACTACGTAAGTTGTGTCCAATCTTTTGTTTGATGAACAGATAAGTTTACTCACAAGCCATTGATATATTTCACTGTTCATCTATTGGTCCAAATCTCGAGTTTCGATCTAAAAGGAGCTAACTGGTTTGTGTGTTTTATTTACAGGTTTCCTTAAGAAGATCCATTACATATTTATTATAAGAGATGAAAATTTCATATCTAGAATGAGGAACTTCAATTCCCAAAGTATACATCAACCTCCATTGAGCTTTGCTCTCAATTACTTAGCTTATATTGACTTAAAACTTGTTCTTCCTTAACATCAGTTTCGTTCACTATTATGACATCAAAACACACCAAAAATGGTGTAACTCCCCTTGAATTTTTTTAAAAAAAAAACATTGTGTGGTTCCTTTACCTTTGCTTATATCCTCTAGTTAACATAACTCTTCCAAACCAAGCGCGTCATGATTGTTTGAGGTTATACAAACCTTTATTCAATCCACACACCATGTTAGCATGAAAGTTTCATTCATAAACGAAAGGAATCTCCATATAAATTTCTTCCTCATGATATCCATGTAAGAAAGCATTCTTGACATCAAATTGAAAAATTGCAATTGTGGTTAGCAACTAATTCTAACAAAATTATGACATTTCTACTAGTGCAAACATATCTTGGTAGCCAATCCCACAAGTTAGGGTATATCATTTGCCACCAATCTTGCCTTGCACCTTTTAATTGATTCATCTACTTTACACTTCACGGTATACACCCATTTGCAGCCTATTATTTTTTTTCTTGCTCGTTATTGTAAAAACTCGCAGGTTTTGTTCTTTTTCAATGCCTCCATATCCACATTCATGGCATATTTTCATTTTTCATTACTCAAAGCCTCAAATGTTAATAAGGATTGCGATGGTGTTTTGACTTATAAGAAAAGTCTTATCAGATGGTGAGAATTCTTGAAGTGAAAGGAAATGTGCAAGAGGATGTTAGGGGTGTTGTTCATTCTCTAGTTCCTTTTCTAAGAGCTGTGGGCATATTATGGTGTTCACAAACCATATAACTTTAAGTTTCTTTTTGCAAAGAATGATTAGACAGTATTACCAAATTTGAAGGCTTTAGGTTGGACTCGTGGATTTGAAATGTTTTGGAAACATCCATCATCCTCTTTGTGAACACCTAGTATTTATCAAACCACCCATTCTCAAGAGTAGAATATATTATATTTGGGGATTTTTTAGAATTTTTTATATGTGGGAATGTTTCAAATACATGTTCAGATATTGAATCAAAATTGGATGTTTTAAAAGAACTTTCAAGAATAGGACTATTAGTCATAAGGAAGAAGGATAAGTAAAGGAAAAATCCTCCACATATTCCCTAGATGAATCCCCTTTTAAGATAAGGAGTGATAAAATAGGGCTTATCTTCCCTCCAATCAATCTATAGCTCATGCAATGCAATCTCATTTTGTTTCCTTTTATTTAAGTCTAAGTCCTAAATTTATTTTGATGAGAATTGTAGACTTAGCTTCAATCTTTGAATCTTTAATCTTCGCTTGTAGCTTTCTTACTCAAAACTTGTCACTTGTAAATTAACAATCTGACTGTCTTTTTGTATGTTACGCTTGATAAGTACTTGACGTTTATGATAATTAAAATTTCATGTAGAGAGGTAGTTTTGTTAGTATTAATTTGTTCAACATGATGCATGAAAGTTCATGATCTCCACTTTGATCAATTCATCCTAGGCTACAAATTTTGGATCTTCAAGTTTAAGGCGAACACTTGTTAGGTAGCTAAGCTTCCACTTTCTTTTCAGAACCGTACAAACAAGTTGGGACCATTTTAGCTTCTTCTTTTTTTTGGTCAACCTGTATGCAGAATTAATATTTTACAATTCACTAGATTGTGGGTTTATTATGTCTTATGTTAATTGGACTATGTTGGATACCTTTTTATTTGAACTCTAATTGGAAAAGTTAAGCAATGAAGGTTGAATGGTGCAAGAGGGAAAGATAAGTTGTAGAGTACTTTAAGGAAGAAGCTGAGATTCAACAACAAAGATGGGTGGAAAAGAAGGCTAGTAGGGTAATTAGTGGCCAGCTAAGCAAGAAAAAATTCAAATGACAACAATGTCCTAAAATGGAATCTCTTTGGTACAATGTCAGAATTATTGAATCTATATATTGTTACTCCTATATATTTTTGATTACAAGATGGAAATATATATATAAGGAAAGAATTATGCACTAATATTAGCATAAAAATAGGCATTGTACACTAAACTAGACCTAAAAATTAGGAGTTACACTTACATATAATAAATTATGTTTGTCGTTATTCAAAATTTGCCATGTTCGGGGAAAGATCCTGCCATAAAATTAGGAACTTATCATCATATATTCTGCCACAAAACTTATTACAAGTTCTTGATCTGCAACCACCTACGGTCATCTCCCTCCTACATATCGCGTGTCACCAGATCCAACATTAACAACGATCTCTCTTGGATCGAACATATTTGTTTCTTGATGCATGTCATGAAAATAGTTGAGACATACAAGTATGTTATGTATTTGCCATTCTAAAAGGAACTTGTATGGCAGTTTCTATGTCAATTTTGACGCAAACCAAACCATAAGTATATATCAAATAAGGGACCGCAGTCAACTTTAAATCTGCAATATTTAAAAGAAATAAATATGGACTAATCTTGGCATAAAAAGTAGCTATTGTAAACTAATTTAGACCTAAAAATTATGAGTTACACTTGTATATAATAAATTATGTCTGCCAGTGTTGTTCAAAATCTGCCACGCTTGGAGAAAGATTCTGCCATAAAAT